AACTCAGAAATAGAAACAATAGGATCTTGAATTAAGATGAAGCCTCTTGGAAGTAATACCTGTATTCTCTTCTAGCCTAAAAACGACAGGCCCCCTATGGAATTTGACAAATATTAAAGATGAATACTACATTGAGTAGTTCCTTTTGCATTCTTTCCTTTCCTTTTGTGCTTTAACTCTAGGACCCCCAAACTAGCTTTAAGATGCTAAAACCCTCTCCCTGATAGTTGACCTTAACCTTAAACTGAGGGTTAGTGGGAGAATCAGTAGACTTAACTCTTGAAACACTCCAGATCTTCTGTAAACAACAGTAAAACTTTTTTGCTACTTTGTTCTTAATCATAACCCCTATATGACTTTATGTGTGGTTGGAAGAGAGTAAAGGGTATTGCCCATCAGGGGGCCCATTAATGGGACAGTTCCTTTTTACAGTTTAATATTTACAGACATATATTAAACATTGTAATTGTTTGGCTTGAGGTATGATATAAAATTATTCAAATTTTTTTTAATGACCAAAGGAATAGATGATAATCTCAATGTTTACTTTTAATAATGGGTCATAATCTGTATAATTTCACCTTTGAGAGTTTTCTTTTGTTTTTTGAGACAGTCTTTCTATATAAAAGTATGCTAAATCATCTTTTTATCTTTAACTTAAAGCAGCAACAACAGTCATACTTTAAAGTCAGTTATCTTAGATAATAAACTTTTAACCAGTTAATTTCAGATATGAAACAATAATCCAACTATGCCTAAACCTATATAGCATTTGTAGATGCAAAATTCACTCCACCAAACTCTCAATGCCTTGCAAATCATCTGTAGGTATTTCATCTTCCCTCTCTGTTCAATGTGGGTTCTTCAAGTGTCCCATGAAGTTGTCATGAAAGATAAACCAATTGCCCTGCGACATGTTTTGGTCCTACTGACACTCTTGAGACTGAATTAGGTGGAAATGTTGATAACTTGATTACTGAGTTTTTGTGACCTTAGTAAACTTATGCACCTGTTTAACAACTTCTTTTAAAGTCTCTTATTCCCCTTTTTCAGAAAAAAGTCAAGACCATTGTCTGGAAAGTATATTAAACAAAGTGCTTATACTTGATAGATGTGACACTGACTTACCTTGTTCGTAGTATTGTAATTTTGTCCATTTTGAAATACTTTACAAATAAAACAGAATATAAATGTTTTACTTCAATATTACTGAAATTACACTATTATTAGTTATAGGTTTATGTTGAAAACTTGTGTTACAAAAATGTTCATTGGATGATAATGTTTGACTTACATTCTTTTTTCTTTTTTAATTTTTTATCGAAGTGTAGCTGATTTACAATATTGCGTTAGTTTCAGGTGTACAGCAAAGTGATTCGGTTATTTTTTTTTCAGATTCTTTTCCATTATGGTTTATTACAAGATATTGAATATAGTTCCCTATGCGCTACAGTAGGTCCTTGTGTTTGACTTACATTCTTTTTTTTTATGCTTTTTTTTAACATCTTTATTGGCGTATAATATCTTTACAATGTTGTGTTAGTTTCTGCTGTATAACAAAGTGAATCAGCTATACATATACACACATCCCCATATCTCTTCCCTCTTGCATCTCCCTCCCACCCTCCCTATCCCACCCCTCTATGTGGCCACAAAGCACCGAGCTGATCTCCCTGTGCTATGCGGCTGCTTCCCACTAGCTATCTGTTTTACATTCGGTAGTGTATATATGTCCATGCCACTGTCTCACTTCGTCCCAGCTTACCCTTCACCCTCCCTGTGTCCTCAAGTCCATTCTCTATGTCTGCGTCTTTATTCCTGTTCTGCCCCTAGGTTCTTCAGAACCCATTTTTTTTTTTTAGATTCCATATATATGTGTTAGCATACAGTATTTGTTATCCTCTTTCTGACTTACTTCACTCTGTATGACAGACTCTAGGTCCAGCCACCTCACTACAAATAACTCAATTTCATTTCTTTTTATGGTTGAGTAATATTCCATTGTATATATGTACCACATCTTCTTTATCCATTCATCTGTCGATGGACACTTAGGTTGCTTCCATGTCCTGGCTATTGTAAATAGTGCTGCAGTGAACATTGTGGTACATGACTCTTTTTGAATTATGGTTTTCTCAGGGTATATGCCCAGTAGTGGGATTGCTGGGTCATATGGTAGTTCAATTTTTAGTTTTTTAAGGAACCTCCATACTGTTCTCCATAGTGGCTGTATCAGTTGACATTCCCACCAACAGTGCAAGAGGTTCCCTTTTCTCCACACCCTCTCCAGCATTTACTGTTTGTAGATTTTTTAATGATGGCCATTCTGACTGGTGTGAGGTGATAGCTCATTGTAGTTTTGATTTGCATTTCTCTAATGATTAGTGATGTTGAGCATCCTTTCATGTGTTTGTTGGCAATCTGTACATCTTCTTTGGAGAAATGTCTGTTTAGGTCTTCTGCCCATTTTTGGATTGGGTTGTTTGTTTTCTTGATATTGAGCTGTATGAGCTGCTTGTATCTTTTGGAGATTAATCCTTTGTCAGTTGCTTCGTTTGCAGATATTTTCTCCCATTCTGAGTGTTGTCTTTTCATCTTGTTTATGGTTTCCTTTGCTATGCAGAAGCTTTTTTAAGTTTCATTAGGTCCCATTTTTGTTTTTATTTCCATTCTTCTAGGAGGTGAGTCAGAAATGATCTTGCTGTGATTTATGTCATAGAGTGTTGACTTACATTCTTTTTGAGAGTTTCTGAAATCCATTTTCTCAAAGGTGTTAGCTACAGGTCCAGCTACAGCATACTCGAAGTTGGGAATGAAAGTAATTTTTCCCAGGAATCCTGATAAACTGTTGTTTTGCAAACTCCTCAGTGGTTAAGTGAGAATATTCCTAATATTTTTTCCCCATCTTTTCACCTGTGGAAAATAAATGAAAAAATAAAATACCTTATTAACGTGGTGGTTTGATAATAAGTGGAAAGCAGCTGGAGTCAGCACTCAAGATTCCAGGGAAATGAGGCTTGGCATGAGTAATTCAGGCAGTGGTTCTCAACCTTGGCCGCATACAAGAATCTCAGGCATCAGCCTTTTAATAAAATCTTCCTAAGTGATTCCAAGTCAAGGTTACGAACTGCTGGTTTAAGAGGAATTAGAAAGGGAAGCTTGAGTTAGGAGAGTATTATGATGGTCCAAGTTAGAAATAATAAAGACTTCAGTTAGGAAGTTAGCAGTGAGATATTCAGTGGTAAAAACAACAGGACTTATGTCCCAGACAAGGGAGAAAATTGAAGCAAAGATACCATCTTCATAGACGTGATGGTCCTAACCTTGATACTGGATGAGGTTGCCATGGAAGAGAACCAAGTAGAGATCCTTAAAGGATGACCACGTTCATGGTTGGGAGAGGGTCCAAAAACGTGAGAAGTGGGAGGAGAATCAGTTGGCTCTAGTGGTAGAAGCTGAGGCCTGAGATTTTCAAGTAGGATATATGATGATCTCAAGAGCAATTAAGAACAGTGTAGTAACATTAAATCATAGTAAGCTTCAAAATGTTTTTGAACGTCTCTGAAATATTTTTCTCAAATGTATGCTTATTGGATATCTTCGAAGTTATACTTTATAGGGACTTCCCTGGTGGCACAGTGGTTGAGAATCCACCTGCCAGTGCAGGGGACACGGGTTCGATCCCCGGTCCAGGAAGATCCCACATTCCGTGGACCAACTAAGCCCATGTGCCACAACTACTGAGCCTTGCTCTAGACCCCGGGAGCCACAACTACTGAAGCCTGTGAGCCTAGAGCCCGTGCTCCACAGCAAGAGGAGCCACCGTAATGAGAAGCCTGTGCACCGCAATGAAGAGTAGCCCCTGCTCGCCGCAACTAGAGAAAGCCTGCGCAGCAACGAAGACACAACACAGCCAAAAATAAATAATTAATTTTTTTTTAAGTTATACTTTATAAAGGTACCTTGAAATCCAAGAAAGAAAGCCAGACTTATGAAATAGAAAACAGTTTCTAATTCTAGTTCCACCTTTCTAGCCAGCTGACCTTGGGTAATCCACTTACCCAGTGCCCATTTTGCTAATCCATTGAATGGCGATGCTAGTGCCTGCCCTGCCTACTCCACTGTATTGTTTTTTGCATTAAATTAGATGATAACAAATGTGAAAATGTGTTGTAAAATGTAGACCAGTATACAGAAAATGGATTATTAGCATTAACCTTTTTGCTGTTATTCACAACACTTTAGTATTGAGAAGCTTTGGATAATTTATATTCCTAATAAAGAGGTAAAGTAATACTAGGAAGTCCTAGGTCACCTTCTGTTCAGGGAGCTCACCATCCCACAGGGAAAACAGGATAAGGAAAAATATAACTATAAACACCAGAGCAAAAGTTCTGTGAGAGCAGGAATCATATCACTAAGGTATTTCTAATGCCTAACTTAGTGCTTGAAACCTAGTAGGCTCCCCTAAAATATTTATTTTTAAAATCTGGTGAAATAATATAATACAAGGTAAAAGGTCATATAAATAAAATATTCGGATAGTTTTGAGGAAGAGGAGATTCAAAACCTGACACATTGCCTGAATAATAGTAAAAGACAAATATATGATGAATTAATGAATCATGGAGAGGGAGAGGTGTCATGTCCCAAAAAAGTCACCTGAGTTAATATGCAGCAAAAAGGAGTTTAAACCATATCAGATGCAAAATGTAGAAATAGCAGCAAGATGAAAAATGATTTTTAAGTTCAGAAGGCTCTAAGTTGCTAAAGGCCAGGACCATGGAAATCAGAAAACAGTGATGGGTCAGAGGAGACACCCTCGGAAATGGTGGTACACCCAAGCTGATCACTTATTTGCTTTATTGGTTACGACTGCATCTCACCCAAAGGCAAAGTATTGCTTATGTTCAGATATGTACCTGAAATTTGGGTGCTAGAGTGTTCTGCTTTAAATGTGGCCAGTGAAAGCATCCTGATCATGTGCTCTTCTGTCTATAGGAATAGATAATCTCTATGAGAGGGCGCTTCACATCCGCAAACTCCTCCTGACCTTGCCCAGGTCGGTCCTTATAGTGATGAGGTACCTCTTTGCCTTCCTCAATCAGTAAGTACCATAATTCTCTGCCAAAATGCTCATCTTAATTCCATTTGCACCCCTCTGAGTTCTTTGTTCTTGGATTCTGTAACATGTACATTGGGTTCCATTTATCAGCAGAGTTGAAGAGGAAATGATTGAATAGAGACTGAAGGTGCATTTTTCCTCAGCAGATCAAAGTCATTGTGTGACCTACCTTAAATAAGCCTTGTCACCAGATGCAGAAACTGTGGCCATAATTGCAAAAATATACAAGTATTACTAAAAAGAGCACTTTTCAGTGAATTACGTGTTTTTCCGACTTCCATCCAAAGCCAGTGTCATAAATGTTTTGTTAAAATGATGTAAACCACCTGCTCACTGCAGAAAATTTCTGTGATTTTTAAAGTTGTAGTCAGGGAAGGAGGGAAAGTGTAGGTGAGATTTATACACAAATCCAAAAGAGAATTTTCTGCAAATTCAGTATAATGAGATCTTGTCAAAAAGATGATATTTCTAAAATATTCTCTAAAACAATGTAACAGAAATCTTAAAAATCACTGCATTATTTTCAAGGAAACTTTACTCTTTTAATTTTGGCAACTTGATTTTCAGTTGTGTCACTTGTAGATACATGGGCTCCATTATAAGAACATCTTCCCCAGGTCCTATCTAAGAGCCCCCTTGCACTTCAGTGTTTCAGTTAAATAACTGGAAATTTAAAATCCAGGCAGAGTAAGCTTGGGGAAATGCTTTATCACTCCAGCATGAACTCTCCCTTCTTAAAATTAGGATATTTTCTCTTCTCTATTTCACTGGAAGTTTTAAGTTCTTAAAAGCCATGGGGATTTATTACAACCCTGCTAACTCTTCCTGAAGTCATCCCCATTCAGGCTGACCCCCTGCAAGCCAAGTATCCTAAAATAGGGAAATGCTGGCAAGGAAACATACAGAATGGAGCTAAAGCATTCACAAATGACATTTGTACAGAAGTCACCCCTGGAAATTAGCAGTATCTAGAGAGATGGGTATAAACTATTTTAGGTTAAATACATTCTGTACATTTTTACCTTTAAATAAGCCAAGTCACCCAGGCAGTTGTAAAAATCTGCAGATTGCATGTGCCTCTCCTTCCCCAACATGGAGCACCTTGCATCCCTGCTGGTCCTCTCCATGCTGTCCCTACCAAATTTTCCTGATACACCTGAGCGAAACCAACTGTGAACGAATAAACCGCAATGGATTAGGAAAGCAGACTGACCATGAACCAAGAAAGTTCTCAAAACCTGAATCTAATTCACTGTGTATCTCAACAGAATGGCCACTGTGCCATTAGTCAGACGGTTGGCATTGCTTCCAGCATTTCTGCCCAAAGATGCCCCTTGGTCCCCTGCATCTGCCTTCATGCAGAGAGGCAAGGCCCAGCCTCTAGGATAGGATGCTTGGGACAGGAATTTTGGGAAAAGAAACTATTCTCTTTTAATTGTAAAATCAAAACATGTATGTAACATTTTCATGTCAAGTTTTTGCTCTTCAAGCCAGCACAAAATTAAAGACCCAGAAAGACTGTGACTCTCCCCTTTGTGCTTAAGTGGGTCTTTTGAAAATTAGACCATTCTTATTCTGAATCTCACTTTTCCTTCCTGCATTCACTTTCAAGATGATCTGTAACATGATCATTGGCTGTTATTTGTGAACTGTTTTTAAGATTTTATGTTTGAGAAATGGCAGAAGAGAAAGACATATGTTACCTGTGGAAATCATGCTTTTGTATTTTCCACTTTCTAGGCTATCTTATTTCCAAAACAGGGTAAAGTATCATGTCACATGGTATCTCAGTTTCTTTGTGTCTGTCAACATCTCACAAATATAGAGTCTCTTTTTTCTCCTTCCATTTGTCATCTGTTCACCTGGATTTTACATTTCCTTTCAGTGTTGACATTCTATACACTGAAAGATAGATTCTCTGGATTCTCCCTGGAGCAGCACCTTGCCCATGTGTTACGAGGCATAGCAGTAAAGAGCTGGCTTATTTTCAGTCACCTGTGGAAAATATCTCACAAATAGCCATTGGATCGGATTTAGAAATTAGTACTAGGCAACTGGAAATCTCCTCAGAGTTTGTAGTTTACCAGCTTGAAGTGGAATATGCAAGAATTGAGGATTCTTTACCCCTTCTCTTGCACTTGTGTGTTTTATGACACTGGTTGTCACCTAGTGTTGGGAATCTTTCCCAAAAGCAAATTACAGAGCCTGGAGTTGCTTGCTTTCTCTCAGTTGGGTACAAAGAAAAGGTGATTTGTTTTCCTCCAGACTCTCCTCAAGATTTATGGGAAAAAACTGAAATCTGAAATGTTTTTGGTTCGTTGGAGAACAATTTTAAAGATCTCCATAAAGCTTTATAGAGATCACTGCTGCCCCTCCCAGATTTACTTGAGCAGCATTTACAGCCTGACCATAATGTTTACAAATGAAACTCATTTACTTGATCCTTGTCTCCATTGTAGTGGGGATTATCTTAAACTCCCCTGTGGCTTTAAAAAAATACCACTTAAGCAAACAGGATTTATGTTCCCCTTTCATTTTCTACCAAGTTGAAAGGTTGTAAGTCGCTTTACTTTCTTTGGAATTTGCTGAGCCACCTTAAAGTAGGATGGAATATCATTTTATTCTAATAATAAAAACCAAATAAAATCTTTTAGATCGGTATTTTTAGAAAAGGAAGTATCTTATTGAACATTGATTTTCTTTTTTTCTCATGTTAACTCCTTTCTTGCTTCTTTTCGTAGTCTTTCACAGTACAGTGATGAGAACATGATGGACCCTTATAACCTGGCCATTTGCTTTGGACCCACGTTGATGCCCGTCCCAGAAATACAGGATCAAGTGTCCTGCCAGGCTCATGTGAATGAGATTGTCAAAACCATCATCATCCACCACGAGACTATTTTCCCAGATGCTAAAGAGCTGGATGGCCCTGTTTATGAGAAATGTATGGCTGGAGATGACTATTGGTAAGTCCAAGAATTTTAGTACTTCTCCCCCTGGAAGAATTATAGAAGTACAGAGATCAACTTAATTAAGAAAAAGAACGCTGACTATAGGCTGCCAGCGCTTCCAATTTAAAAAAAAAGCAGCAGCAGCAAGAACACCTGAGATACATTAGAATACCAAAATCCATGACAACACTGGCTTCTTATTATGGAATTTCATATTCATCCCTCTCTTTTCCCCATGCACGACATCTTTATAGACATATCCATCCCATCATGACTTTTGTAGAGAATGGTTTTGATATACAGTGCTGTGTTAATTTTTACTATTATATCAAGAAAAGATAACTGATTGAATTGACAGATTTCATTTTTATTCCTAAATAGTTTTGATTCTATATAAAGTATTTCAAAATTCTCATTTAAAAGGAGCGCCGTCAACCAAATGTGTTTTCATTCTTACTTATTTTCATTCTTACCAATAAATGTTATCCTAACCAGTTATGGTCGCTTTTGAGCAAATTTATTATTATATTGTTGGGATAAAAATGTTTTAATATGGCATTGTAGTCACCTCCCAATGAAGTATAAAAATGAGGGGTATAGTCAGTTGAACAATCCCAAAGGTAAGGAACCCTAAAATGTTTATGTTCACTATTTGATATATGAGTGCTAGCTTCTAAGAAATCATGTACAGTAAAAGTGGTTTTGACTCCTTGGGCCCCTACCGCGTGCCAGCTTCTCAGTGCACATGATCTCTTTTATTCCTCACAACCACTCTACCAAGTAAGTTAAGAGAGGCCAAGGAGCCTGTCCAATGGCTAGTGGTTACTGGACGCAGCCCAAGTCTTGTCTGATTCCAAAGTCCACACGAGTCTTCCCACTCAGCAGCTGCCTCCCAGCCTACCTCGGAAACTGCTTTGTGCAGCTCAGACTAAGGAGAAGCTGGAAATAAATTTGTCTAAGTCCTTCATTCTGGACCCTCCTCAGGACACTTTGTTTCCCACTGCCTTCCTGGAGATTAAGTATTAGAATAAGTAGCTGAAAGATCTAAATAACTCAGAGTGCACTTATTTTTTACTTAAACCACAGTATATTCTTAAACCACAGGTGATCCTATGCCTTAAGAAATTTGAGAATTGACTATTTCCACAAGTGCTGCTAAATTAACAATAAAGCATGACAGATTCTAGTTTTATAGTATATCTAGCAATTTTATGTGAAATTCAATTTTAAAAGATTTACTTGAGCACTTACTACATGCACATACTGACTAAGCTTGGCTCTGGGAAGGTAAATGAAGAAAACTCAGCCCTGGTGAGATTCAGAATTTCATTTTCCTAGTTGTATTTGTTTCAAGGCCAGTGTCAGTCATGTTTAGTATTTCCAGATATTCAGAGCTATGTCAGTAAGTTCTGTTGTCTTGTTCATTTTATCACAGAGCAAGTATGTGGATGTCTGGTCGATATTATTTGATGCGTTGTATTCTAGAACTTTTGTGGTTGCTCCATTTTTACAAACAGGGTAAAAGCCCCATAATAAAGAGTCTTGCAGCCAGTAACACGTGCTGGATTATGTCCTTCGCCCATACATAGTGTTTTTTATGGGCATCGCTCATTTTAAACAGAAAGTCAGTAATATAGTAGTCATCCTTGTTCCCCGATGCCAGCAGTATAAGTGGGCTTTTACAATAATGTCAGGTTTGTATTTGTAACCATTGCATTCCATTTATCAGCATACATTTGAGAAGAGATAGTGGTAATGTTAAAGGATAAAATCTGACTCTCAGATACAAAAATGAACATGTGTCTAGAAAAGATAAAGATACTACAATCAATTCAAAGCAGAAACCGAAGAGCCATCCACTTTTATGCAGTAGGGAATATCGAAATGAATTTGCAAAAACTGGTGTATCCATGGGGCAATAATCATATTCCACTAGAATTCAACAACTTTTCATTTTTATGGATAAGAATTATTTGTAATACTATCAATTTCCTACAAGTTAATTTTGTCTTTACAGATTTATAATGTATCAAAGATGAAGGTACATACACTCCCATAGCATTAGAGAATCCTAGAGGCTCCAGCATTCCACTGAAAGGCTATCCAGTAACTCCTTTGCCATTCCAAAGTCTTATTCATTTTTTTTTTTTTTACAGTAGCAATTGTTCATCTTTGAAATGCTTTCCACTTTGGCTTCATATGAATTTCTATTTCCGCTCCTCAGCGACAGCCCATACAGTGAGCACGGTACATTGGAGGAAGTGGATCAGGACGCTGGTACAGAGCCCCACACCAGTGAAGACGGTATGCACTTGTGCCCATGCTACTATAAAATTAGTCTTTATATTCATTTTTTAAGAATTGCTTATAATAAGAATTCAGTAGATACAAAAGAATACTTAACTAAATAGTGTAAAGTGCGAAGAATAACATTACAATGAACACTTGTGGAACCACCACCAAGTTTAAGAAAAAGGTATCGGGCTTCCCTAGTGGCGCAGTGGTTGGGAGTCCGCCTGCCAGTGCAGGGGACACGGGTTCATGCCCCGGTCCAGGAGGATCCCACATGCCGCGGAGCGGCTAGGCCCGTGAGCCATGGCCGCTGAGCCTGCGCGTCCAGAGCCTGTGCTCTGCAACGGGAAAGGCCGCAACAGTGAGAGGCCTGCGTACAGCAAAAAAAAAAAAAAGAAAAGAAAAAGGTATCATTTCATTACCTTTGCGCTTTCCTGAACCCATTGCCTTCTTTACCCCTCCAGGGTAACCACTATATGTTTGTACTTTTAAGTGATTTATTGTTTCATTTTCTATTTTCTTGAACATTTCATAAATAGAATCATATGTATATATTTTTCATGATTTTTTCTACTCAGTATTGTTTCTGAAATTCATCCATTGTTGCATGCAGTTATAATCATTTACCTATATTCCATTGTATTTATTTTATTATTGATGAATATGTGAGGTGTTTTCTATTTTTTTGCCATTAAAAACAGTGCACCTATGAATATTTCGAACATGTATCCTACTGCAAATGTAGAGTTTCTCTAGGATATACACACATAGGAGTAGCATGTCTTCAACTTTACTACATACTGCCGAACTATTTTTGAAAATGGTTGTAAGGATATCCACTCCCACCAGCAGTGTCGCAGCCTTTCAGTTGTACGTAGTCATCAACACTTGATTTTTTTTTCCTTTATTTTTTTTGGCTGTGTCGGGTCTTAGTTGTGGCACACGGGACCTTCGTTGAGGCACGTGGGATCTTTCATTGCGGCGTGTGGTCTCTTCGTTGCAGCACTGGGGCTTCTCTCTAGTTGTAGCGTGCAGGTTTTCTCTCTCTAGTTGTGGCGCACAGGCTCCAGAACGCGTGGGCTCTGTAGTTTGCGGCACACGGGCTCTCTCATTGAGGCGCGTGAGCTCAGTAGTTGTAGCCCATGGGCTTAGTTGCCCCGCAGCATGTGGGATCTTAGTTCTCTGACCAGGGATCAAACCTGTGTCCCCTGCATTGGAAGGTGGACTCTTTACCACTGGACCACCAGGGAAGCATCAACACTTGACTTTATAAAATATTATAATCTTTGCCAATATTGTCAGTGTGTAATGGCATCTCATTGTGATTTTAATTTGCATTTCTGATTGTTGTTTTAAAATATACTGTATTAATAGAAAATTTGAGGTACGGTAAGGCCAGCAGATTGGGAGATGATCGCCATTGAAAAGATAATTTGATACTCACAGTTCCTAAGAGGAGGGGACACATCACACCTCAGGGGGCCAAGGAAAGCACCATGGTCAGTCAGGAGGCAGAGGGAGAGGAACAACTGGGTAAGAGCTTTTATTGTGGTTTCCACAGAAAGGAACATGAGAGGCAGGGTAAGCAGGGTTAGGATTGCCTAGTTTGAATAATTTCAGCGGGCTCTGGGGCTGTCTCTCGTTGTCTGGTACCTGGCTCTGAAGTGATTGGAGCAGACAGATAGTGGCCCAAAGTGTGAGAGCCCCAGAGAGGAGGTGGTTGGGATATAGGCTCTGGATTGGTTGGTTTGTATTTGAAAAGCACATTCCAGGTGAGCTGTTTACCGTCCCTAGGAATTGGCTAACCCTGGGAGGGACAGTCCCTCCAGGGGCAGCAAGGCCTCAGAGGTCACACTACAGAAAATGAAAAACATGGTTAACACAGATATACTAATTTTTGTATGTTTAGATTTCTTCTTTGTGAAATTCCCATCTTTTGCCCATTTAGGACCTACTTGCCCACTATCATTTTCTCTGGGCTTTTTTTGCTTTTAGTTTAGTTTGGCTTTCTTTTTTTCTTATTTATAAGAGCTCTTTGTGAGTCTGGATCAGGCCTTTTATTGGATATATGATTTGCAAATATCTTCTGCTCATGTCTCTCATGTGCTTATTGTGTCTTTTGCCAAACAGAGAATCTTAATTTTAAAGGCGCTGAATTTACCAATCTTTTCCTTCATGGTGGTTTCACTTTGCATCTCCTTTAAGAAATCCTGTGCCCTGAGGCACAGGATTCGTGAAGAACTTCTTCCATATTCTCTGCTAAATCCTTTCCAGGTTTTATTTTTCACACACAGGTCTTAATTCTACCAGGAATTTATTTGGAGGTATATGGTGTGAGGTAGGGATTTGTTCCTTTTTTCCTCCATATGGATGCACAGTTGTCCCCACTGTCCCAGCCCTAATTGTCCTTTCTCTGCTGCTCCACACCTTTATCATAAATCAAGTGTCATCTCTGCATGATTCCGTTTCTGGGCTCTGTTCTTTTCCATGGGTCCACTTGTCTATCCCTACACCCCTGTCTTAATTTTGATACCTTTTAATAAATCTTAATATTTGGCAAATCAAGACCTCTGAATTTGTTCCTCTTAACAATTCTTGGCCTTTTTCACTTAAATTTTAAACTCAGTTTTTCAAGTTCTTGAAACAAACAAGGAGAAAAAACCTAAAAACCTGTTGAGGTTTGGACTGCAATTGCACTGATCCTACATATATTCATATGAAAAAATTTGATATTTTTATAATATTCAGTCTTCCAATCCACAAACACCTTTCTAGTTACTTAATGTCTCCCAATAAACGTTTATACTTTTCTCTGTAGTGATCACTTTTTTCTCTTTCTAACTTCTTAAGTTTAATATTTAACATTACTTTATGACACTTTTTTAATGTGAACATATAAAGTTGTCAGTTTTTTCTTAGTACCTCTTTAGCTGTATGCATAATCCTTTTATTCTCTCTTTAGCTGTGACTAATCTGCTTTAAACCCATTCACTGTTTTTATTTTTAATTTTTTTTCCTACAAGTTCAGTTTACTTTCATATCTGCTTGGTCATTTGCTCTTGACTTATAATATCTTTCCATTGTTTTAGATTATGTGTCTAATCATGCTAATAGCTGAAGTCTTCCTGGATTTGTTTTTGTCATCTTTTGCTCATTGAATCTTATTTCCAGTGTGTTTTAATAAATTTTTTACATATTTCTTAGAACTTCATGGAATTCCTTTATGTTGAGTTGAAGGTATGTTCCCTCCAGAGAAGGTTTTCATTTACTTCTGCCTGGTGCATAACCAGCTTGGGACCACATTAGATTTTTAGTCCGAGATTTTTTCAGGCCACCCAGGTAGTGTGAACTTAAACTGCAAACCTGCCAGAGGACTGAAATGTGGTTGGGATTCTCTAAGGTGATTTGTTTCCCAAGGCTTGAGATAGATTATTTCCTTAAGTCCAAAGTTGGAGTGGTTACATCTATGGAGAAGTATGGAGAGTGAGAAGGGAGGAAGATTTCAGAACTAGAAGTCCACTGTGACACAGAGAGTTTGATCCTTTGATGGGGCTTCGATTCGCCACACTGGGCAGCCCCTGGACCTAGTCTTTTGTGCAGAATAAAGTTTAAGTTAACCGCACAGGGAAAATTCCCTCCAGGCAAACTCTGACTTAACATATTCTAGTGTTCTATTTACCTTGGTGGGTTCCCACATTCATCAGGTTTTTGGTCTTTAGTATTCCTCACAGTCATAATTAATGTGATTACAAAGTTTTTTTTTTTAATCCAGCATTTTTAGTTGATTTCAGCAGG